GTCTCCGATCCCGGAGTCCCCGGCAGGAAGTGGTTAAGTTACCTTCACTTTCACCGTGGTTCCCTAAAGGTTTCTATTGTTTTGTTAAGTCTTGAGGGCTCCACAATAAGGCCGTTTCACAATAGTGCGCCACCGAAAGTTTGCAACGCGTTGGCCAATCACAATGCGCAAAATTTGTCGACCCAATGCGCGTTTGGAAAGGGTCGACGAAGTTCGCGTGCTATGATTGGCCAACGTGTTGCAAACTCTTGGTGGCGCACTATTGTGAATCGCCCGTATTCGTTCCTCGTGTATGTCAGCATGGAGGCTGTAAACATGACAGAAACCACAAGGTGATTTCTGGTTTTAAATGAGAATCAATGTCGCAACTGACATACACAGTTATTTTTTCCTGTGCATTTTTGACAGCGACAGAGACAACAAATTCATGAGCACGAAGAACTCTACCACTTCACTCAAACAACGTCCATGCTGAATCACAAGTGTGAAATGTTTTCGAGTGTTGAAATGCAGAAATGTTGGAGCACTGGGGAAACACTGCTAGCGTGACTTGCTCCCTTTGCTGTGCTTGGTGTCATCTTGCGCTGCTGCAAATATTGGCCTTGGGGAAACACTGCTAGCGTGACTTGCTCCCTTTGCTGTGCTTGGTGTCATCTTGCGCTGCTGCAAATATTGGCCTTGGGGAAACACTGCTAGCGTGACTTGCTCCCTTTGCTGTGCTTGGCGTCATCTTGCGCTGCTGGGAATATTGGCCTTGGGGAAACACTGCTAGCGGGACTTGCTCCCTTTGCTGTGCTTGGCGTTATCTTGCGCTGCTGGGAATATTGGCCTTGGGGAAACACTGCTAGCGGGACTTGCTCCCTTTGCTGTGCTTGGCGTCATCTTGTGCTGCTGCGAATATTGGCCTTGGGGAAACACTGCTAGCGTGACTTGCTCCCTTTGCTGTGCTTGGTGTCATCTTGCGCTGCTGCGAATATTGGCCTTTTTGCATGGGACAAGGTTCAGCCTACAGGTCTTCCAATGATGCTTTGTGCCTGGAGGATCATCCTGTCCCCAATCATTTTCCTGAGTAGTTCCTCATCATTTCTACTGTTTCTCAACCTACTTTTGTATTACTCTGTTAGCCACGTTTTTCATGTACATGCTTGTACTTAGAGATATGCAGCTTTAACCCACAGAGCAACTGTCTGCGTGCCGTCTATTATCACCAAATAATGCATGCACGCTATTTAATGGTGTGGATTTGTGGCCTTTGGTTTTACATGTGCCCTTTACCGTGAATGGCACAAAGAGCGCACTGCTAAATAAAATACTGATAACCAAATCAGGTTTTATGTCCTCTGATTCGAATTGGTCAGTACCACAAACACTTCACAGTGCACCAATTGTTTCCAACAGCTCTGAGTGCAATCTCTAATTACCGATGGCATCGTCATGGGAGGCAGACTCGAAGCTGACCGACATGGCGTCGTCGTTCTCTTCCCTCTTCTTGTCCATCTTCTTGGCAAATGCCTTGGCAATCATGCGGCTCTTCTTCAGCCTCTGGGGCTCGTTGATGGCTTGCCGAGTAATCCTGGTCAGAAAAAAAGCCAAAAAAGGGAAAAATTCCCACCAACCCTACGCATTAAACACTAGATAATAATTACAGTAACATTAAGACATGCAAATAATGTATTATATGTAGCACTTTAGAGCAATTTCAAGGATTTTGGAAGCAACAAGGCCAAGTTTTGACCTTACTGAATGGCTGCGGCTGAATGTAACACACACGTCTATAGAAGAGGGTGCAGCCGCAAGCAAGTAGCTTCCGTGCTATTTCAGCCACAGCATGACTTTCTTATGAAGCCATTTGATGATTGAAATACAATAATGTACAGAGCAAATCAGTACCAGCAGATTGGTTCACATCACGTTATCCCTGCTCGCCGGGCCCATGAAATTTCCCTGAAACCCACCACAGCTCCCTGGGGAGCCTACAGTTTGATGCTGCCATTTTGGGTACAATCACAACGACAGTCTCTGCCCTTAAGGACACAAAATTTTACTGCCAAGTGGAGACCGAGATGAGTTGGTGCAGAGTGACTTGCCCAACGTCACAAAATGTAAGGAGCTGCTGGACGTGTCCCCGCCCCCCCATGATTGGGAGTTACAGACTCTAATAGACTGTATGCATGCGTCTGCCATCTTGAATTAAGAGAAGTAAAACCTCTGATTTTGGAACGTGACAATAAAAGCAATAGTACAAGCCACATCAAACAAACTGAAAGTGAGGCTTTGAATCCCAAACAGTCTGGCACCTCCCTTTTTAACATTACATTGAATATGATTCAGGGAACCAGATCAAAGATGGCTTCTACGTAAATAAGGTCTGTAGGGATTTACGGGCTGTAATAGCTACATGTATGCCACTTGTCCTCCGAAGATGGCGACTTACTTTCTCCACGTGCGCTGCCAGATGGCCAAGGAGGATGGGGTCCAGACCCACATGCTCATAGCGATGCCCGCCCCAAACATGGAGAACAAGTGCACCATGATCACGCTGATGTTTGGCCGCGAGTTGAGCGAGCAGGTGGGGACGGGCTTGTCCGACAGGCCACTCAGGAATGTGACGTTGGCCTCACAGCTTGGGAAGGAGAAAGTTGCAGAGTCTTTTTCAGACAATGATGGCGGCTCACAAATAGCAGTCTGGACCTTTATCCCCAACCTGCCTACAGGAGGGGGGGATCTGCCCCCTTACAATTGTTCTGATATTGTCCCTTCAAATTTTACAAATCTTGCCAGGCATTCTAGACCTTTTGCTTTCATCTTGCAGTTATTTGTTCAAACTTTTTCAAAATTGGAAATACATTTTCTTTTTTTGGAAGACATATTGGCCAGAAAACGTTTCCACTAACACTGATGCAAATGCCCACAATGATCCAGTTCAGTAGTCAAAAAAGCCAATGTCTTTCAAGGACACGGCTCACACGCGAGTCATCGTATGGCCGCGCTAATAGGACAGACTGTCGTGCATGTGCGTAGCTAGTCCCAAATAGCTCTGTGCTAGGCATGCGCAGTTGGATACCGAACTGTCTCATTGTAAGAGCACAAATGAAATGGCTATAACAAACTCCTTTTGTCAAGTTGAGATGAATGTGCAGAGAACATTGATAACAAACTGAAACGCATACCCAGTTATGGAATCCCTACGAGAACTTCAAGAAGAAAGTTTTAATCTTTGACACCTCTGGTTCAAACTACAACCACTTGGCTCTTTTGAAGGAGTTTCTTGCATTGTAAACCTAACTAGATAGAACCACTTGGCTCTTTTGAAAGAAGTTTCTTGCATGTGTATACCAAAAAAAATTTCCAGTCACTACCTTCTTGGACAGCCAGCTGGACAGAGAGATGGAAAAACAAACAAATGCTCTTACACAAGGTAATCCTGAAATCCCTGCCTCCAAGACTCCTGGTTGGTGAATTCATACAGGTGGCAGGCAAACGTGATGAACACAAAAAGAAATGCTAGAGCAGCGAAGACGCCTGAATACCGGGTGAGAAAAATACCGGCCATCTAGCCATTAAAGGCAGAGACAATTCCAACAAATGAAAATTTGAATATTCAACCCCCCATTTGATGAAGCATCCAAATATTAATTCGTGTGGAATTCCCACTTTAGTAAAAAACAAAATAAATTTTTTTTTGACAAAAAAGTAAAATAAAGAAAAAGTAGGAAGGAAAACTACTTTTTGGCCTTATTGCTAGGCATTTGCATCCATCTACCTTCAAGTTTGATCTTGAAATATGCTTTAAACTGCAATTCTGTTCCAAGTGATTAAATTATTGCCTTTTCTTCATTTCACTGATGTTCACCTCTGAACAATCGATTTTGATAAGAAATGTTTGAGGATTCGCTGAATGATGAAATAAACAAAAACTTGAACAATCACCACAACCCTACTTGGCATTTCAATTAACATCTCGTCAGGCTCTGTTGGCAAGCATAAATCCTTCCTCGGGGAAGAAAAGCCAAGCAGGGGTAGGAGTCAGTTCGGATACTTTTATTTTTACCGATGCGGACGATGGTTCCCTTGATGCGGTGAGCTGCCTTGTCGCTCAGCAAGCCTGGATTGTCCCGATCGATGGTGCACAATGTCTTCAGACCTGGTAAATGGACGACAGATTTGTCAAAATTTGTCGGTTTATACTTGGAAAATGAATACCACGCAGTGTGAGCAACCATACCAGGAAGGTACACAACTACAAACAAGAAGCCAGAACAAAGGTCACAAGCCAAGGGTATGTGAAGCTAATAAGATTACGACTTTATTTTTAAATTCATTTATATCAAACTATTGTAGCCCTGGAGCAAAATTAAAAGTTTGGTACACACAACCATTTAAATAAATTAAAAATGAAATCATTTAAAATAAGTCATCTTTTGAAATGAACAAAATAAACTACGCATGGCTGACAAACATATGAATTATTAAAATGAAACTGAAAATTCAAAAAGTCACATTTTAGACAAGAAAGATGAACGCAATAAAAGATCATCCAGGTAAAAATATTATGAAAATAGTTGTGAGCAAAACTGAAATGAGCAAGAAATCGTACACTTATCTACAAAGTCAATAAACATGTGAACAGGCCTTTTTGGAATCTACTGGTTCGTGCAAACGAACACGGGAACAAAGGTAAGAACTTGTTTTACCAGGTACCTGTAATACCTACAGTGTACTATCAAGGCTCTGTGTGATGATTTCTTTGGAGATCTTTTACTCTGTACTCTTCTCCAATGTCAAGACACTATTTGGCATCCTTTGTGGCTGAGTATTTTGAAGAATGCACACTTTGACATGTAAAGCTGACACTTTTGCTGTGATGTCATATGGGGAAGGCCCTGTTTAGTTTATAGCTTTTTCTGTTCAAACTATGAAGCCAGATTTTGCCCACCGAGGACATTTCTGAGAGATGGTTGTTGGCCCACTTATGGCTGTGCGCACACTTTTAAAACAATAATACTTTAAACAATAGGACGACATCACAGTTTGGTCATAAATATGAAAATTGGCATTTACAATTTGGAAATGGGCTAATTTGATACACAAAGGAGCATTCCCATGGGTTTAGGTAAAAAAAAGTCTCAACCCTTCAAAATCCTTCAGCAATTCCTGTTGTGTTTCAGTGCAATGACTACCTCGTGACACAGTGTACATGTACAAACAACACAAAAGCCTAACCCAAAACCATCGTACAACACATCCTCGCTATCAGCCACATGGTTTTGCCGTTTAATGAGCCTCAATCCTCCAAAATGCTCCAAAAACCACCTCAAGGATATTGAAAGATTGAAGAAAATAGGGTTAATGAAACCTTTGAAAAGGCCAAGAGATCCGTGGAAAAGGATCCCTGAGGGCGCACCTCCCTATTCCAAACTCACCACTTGTGAGAAAGAAACCGCCCACCAGCAGCATGACGCCGATAGGCAGCAGGACAAACCCTGCCCGGTAGTAGTGGTTCTGATACCCAACAAAGCAGATCCCAGACACCGAGTCCCCGTCCACCTACACAGTAACCAGATACTAGGTCAGACAGCAGAAATCTTTGGGCTCAGTGTCACTGATCTCTGTACGCTTTGCTTGAATAGTGCAGTGAGGCCACCACGACAAAATTGTTGGGCCTCTAAAGATGGCTGCCATCAGCTACGGTGCAGCACAGCACATGAGAAGAGCCAAGTTCATAATAACATGTAAAAAATTAGCTAAGTTAAGTATGAAAGGTTTGTAGTCACACTATGGAATAACTCTCTTTTTTGAGTGGCGCAGTTCTGAAGATTTTTCCTCAGGACCACGCAACTAAAAACAGAGATGAACTTTCATGGTGGTACCACAGACCTTCCAAAACTTTGTTCATGTCCACCATGCAAACCTCCTAGTTTATTTAGAGAGATACTCATTAAACTGGTTTCATACAACCTGAGCCCATTTTGGCACAGATGGTGAGACCAAAACACTGCCTGGCACAAGTATCCACCGAGCCCATACCTGATTGATGGCGACAATGATGACCACGAGAATGAATGGCAAACTCCAGGCCAGCAGGTGGAAGTAGCTGGTCTTGCCCTTGAGGGCCTGCCGGGGAGTACCCAGGGCACGGAAGGAGAGGTGCCAGGCGTAGGCCAGCCAGACGAACCAGATGACACCGGCAATGATGAAGTAGTAGACCAGGATGAAAATGATGGTGCAGGACAGGTTTTCTCCCTCGCTGGATGGGAAACAAAGGATAATAAATAATAAAGGACAACAAATAATAGAGGATGGGAAACAGAAACCAAACCAAACAAAAACAAAACACAAAAACAAGACCAAACAAATCAACTGGACCAGTTGATTTTGGTTTTGCATTTGTGACTTTTCAGTTTAACCCTAACACCCCCCCCAGGGTTGCTGGCTCTAACCTTCCCCATTCACACAAAGTTAAACACCCATATGGGACTTTGTGCACAGAGGCTGTTGGATTTTTTTTTTCTGAGGTATGCCAAGCCCAATGCAAAAGCCAGCTGCGATGGGTCTACCAGACCCACAGAATTAAACACTTCACTACTGTGTGGTTGGGGAAGGTTAGGGTTAAGTCATCTTGATAAAATCTGAAATTAAACATGAAAACGGAACAGTTCAGACATTTGGATTGCGCATTGATATTACAGAGTCACGGTGCCTGGTATGGCAAAAAGGCGTGACTTTTTGTTTTTGCCATAGCCACCTGCCAACTAGGAGAGCATACAATGTACCTTATAACGACATAAGTTGCAGCAGCTTTTGAGTTGTTACAGTGATTGCTCTGAAAGTGTTCAAGCAGCCTTGTTATAGGACGACTCTTACCAATCTGAATTTGGTTTTCTTGGGGTGGGGATCTGTTTGGACTCAGGTCTGTTGGAATTCTTTTTAGTTTAACTTTTATCGGATCAGATTCGAGGAGCTCAGATCAGTTTCTGGTCGAATTTGGTTTATTCACGTCTCTCTAGTCTACATGTATCTACATGTGCATGTATCTACATACATATGTACATGTATGATGTCAGAAGATTCAGGCACTGCAAACTGAAATCCCAAGATATTTCAGACATTGTCTATATTACAGCCGAGAGAGTCCTACCTGTTTACACGTCATACCGCATTAAGTGGTTACCAAGATGAATGAGTACCAGTTACTGTACCTTGGTTCGGCCAGGCGCATGGTACCATCTTTCCGACAGATGATGTCGTCCCTCGCACCGCTTGGAAACTGGGCCAGGAAACCGATACTGCCGGCAAAAAAGCAGCCGTTCATGTAGAACAGGATCAGGGCTGGGTACTTGCTGGAGTTCTTCCAGTCAGCACAGAAGGTGATCTAGTTGACGACAAAGACAGTGTAAAAATAAAGAAAGACCATCCATGGAAAGTGAACACGAGTGTTACTTCATTGAATGTCTTCCCTCATGTTCAGTTCAAAAGGGTTTGACATTTGTAATTTGGTTTTCATTGCTAAATTACATGCAGTCATTTATGGACCCTTCTCATAAACCATTTAGTGTGGACGGCTGATACTTTGCTTTAAGATGTCCTTTACAAGTGCATTTGTCAAATTAATCTTAAAGAGAACCCTATTTTCCAGAAACATTTTGCAGTACGTACCAGTAATTTTTAATTTGGAGATTTGATGGCTGTGTGATATTTTATAACCTTTTGTCCTGTACTGATGATTACCCTAATTTAGAAGCCATGGCAGGCATAAAATACAACCATGGCATGGGAAGAGAAGGCTATACACCTGTACACCAATTTTTACCCTTAAATTGCAGGTCCCCCCCCCCCGACACACTGCTTAGACTCTGTTGGATGGTGTTCTCTGTGGACAGAAATCATTTTCCTAGACAGTGGACCCTTTTCTGCTCACTATTCTCATCTCAAGAACACAACTTCATGAAAATTCCTCTCAAGTCAGTGAAACTTAGAAGTTGGTTGGGCTCATGAGTATCGGTTCGGTACATGATGTATGCATATTTTCAAAACTGAAATTTCTTTGAATGTTTTGATGTTTGTATCACTTAATATTTATATCACTTCTTTTCTTTATTTTTTTTTTGGAAAAGTGAAATTGAATCTAGCCAATACATCTGTGGACAGCTTTAACAGGGCTGCTTGATCTCAACACACCCCTCCCCCCTACCCAGGAACCACGTAGAATGCATGAATATTGTCTCTGAACTTCCTGCTACATGTAGCTGGTGCCCAGTTTCACTACAGACCGGCCATTACACTGCAGTGCTTCAGAAGGTTCAGCGACAATAGCGATGGGCCGCCTGACGTCATTCCAGAGAAAATTAAGCCTAAGGCGAAGGCAAGGGGGATGATCTACCCTTTTCTTAAAGCCCCGTATCTTTCTGTTTTCGATGGCCTTCCTCGAAGGGAAACAAACAAAACAGCCTTGCCTGTGCCAATGCTAAAGTAATGAATTCAACACCGATGCAGCCAACAAAAGAGCTGAACTGTTTCTCCCTTTTTCCAACCCTTTTTTTCAACTTAGTTTTTTTTCTCCACAATTCAAGTCACATCAGCGCGTCAACAAAGTATTATTGCCATGGCAACATTTCATATTCTTACTCTGTAAGAAAGCTGCCAAAATGTGGGAAAGAGTGACTGGGGCCAACTGCAACACAGTGTGATGCATTACTATGGAAAGAGTGAAACTTGTACGTGTTATACTTATATCATGGAGTTATTTTTGCATGTATAAAATTGTATGAAATCAAATGGAAAGTGTAATTTTCAAAGTCAACCAGTACATTGAGCTGGCAGTTTGATATTAACTTGTCCACTTTTGTAAACATCCATGTATAACTTCTGACTTCACTTGACCCTACTACAATAAAACTAAAATACAAGAAAACAAAAGCCACAGACCAAAACCCAGAAAGTCAAAAGGTATTAAAAAAAAACCCTCCTTGTTACCCTGAAATTCCAAACTCCACTTACACATGGAAATCAATCATTTAAAAATGCCCCTTAAACAAAAATGTTGTAGATTCCAAGCTTGATGGGTTAGAAGGGATAAACGCAAAGAGATAAGCCTGTGGCCATAGGAAAGAGAAGTAAGCAAGCTGAATGGATGGCTACTGGGCACACTTGGGCTCCTTTACTCAACCTTCTCAATGACCAACCAATGCCCATTGTGTCTATTCATGGAGGGATCACACCAACCATGGGAGAAGGGAACACAGTGAAGGTGTCAATAAACAGGGGGAAAAAGGCAGCATCAGGCATGTCAAAAACAAGTTACTGCAGCTGTATGACACTGTGCGTCTTCTGACTCCCTGAACAAATGTCAATGAAACCGTGCACTTCTAATGATAGTTCCCCAATGTAAACATTGGTACAATAAAATGCAACACATTTACACCGTATCTGGACAACTTTAACCCTCATGTGCAAAGTCACATTCTTGACAAAGTTGTCCCGTCGGTCAAATGACCCTTACATGTCGGTGTACCGGGCCAATCAAGTGGAAGGAAGTTTTGACACTCTGTGACAGCAAAAGGGAGGCTTAAAAACGATTAAGATGTACATACGTGTACCAGCTGATGTACGTGCAAACAAATAGCAGACAGGACTACATGTACTCATATAAATATTTATTATCCTAACTGCCAAAAATCTGCCATACTCCAACAGAAGGTTTTGTGAGGTTTTGGCAGGTTTGGTACCGTACCTGAGGAACTTTTTGTTAAATTTTGTGAGACTTGGGATGAAAGGCCCAGGGAGAAGGTGTTGGATTCTGAGTTGGGACACACGCGGGTCACTGTGTGCAGTGTCTGGCTTGCTAAACCAATTGTTGGACTATGCTTGATTTTGTCAGGTTTGGTACTGTTCAGTGCAAGTCATCCTATACTGCATAGACCCATCCACACCATATCACTCAAACTCCAACGGGCTCATTCTGTTGGAGTTTATCAGGTTTGGTGCAGTAACCTGCATGTACAACTACACAGACAAGTACATGAACCTGTTGGATTTTGTGAGGTTCAGTATGCTTTCTAATGCAGGAGCCTAGGGGGTTAGGGTTAATGAACGTGATCCCAGCGTACAGCTTTAAACTGCTCTATGCTTTTTCTGGCAAACCTTCGATTATCAATTGAAAAGTCAGGCCAAATAACTGATACACCAATTAGTTAATTGAAAGACTGAAAAACAGTGGTGGGTTTCATACTCACCAGTGTGAAGAAGGTGCAGACCACACAGACGCTGGCAAAGACTGCAATAAAGAGGTGGACTTGGGCGTGTTCCTCGTCCGTGTAGAGTGGGTTGCGGCACTGGATTCCGCAGCCCTCCACCGTGTCGTACCAACTCTTCTCGTTCTCCGTGGCCACCAGGGGCGGTTCGCACTCCCCCGTGGTGTTGAAGGTGATTGACTTGTAAACATTCTGCATTGGGGTGGAGGTTGAATTGGAGCATTGAGGAAGGGGGAGACTTTCCATACATGGTTTTTAATGTAGAGCCTACTTTTTTCACACAGATCCAGATCACAATCAGTGATGTTTGGTTGGCTCACTGACACCAGAGCCCGCCTAAGCAAATCAGCTTTGGGGTCACTGATCGAGATCAAGATCCATGTCAAACAAACAGGCCCTTAATTTTTTTTTTAACCTAACTCCCTCTATGGGATTTTTGTGAAGATACAATCTCAGGCTCTATGCGAATCGCTTGTCTATAGCCGGAAATTACGCATGAGTCTATGGCAGTGGCCGCGGCCAGCTCCCATGATGTGTGTAAAGTCGTGTGTAAATTCCAGCCGTAACCGAGTGATTCGGACACGGCTTAAGTCTTGAGAAATCCAAAATCTCTTCCATGTGTTCCTTGGAAGGCCACTGCCTCAATCCTCAATGTAAATATGTTCAGTACAATCTATGCCTCATTCTGTTTATAGCCAAAACATGAATTGTAAGGTTTAGGAACATGACAAAACACACCCTTTAAAATCTGCCACACATTTTTGCCATGCAGCCTCCGTCCTCCAAAATCCCTCAAAAACCATGATGAAGATGTGGCAGAGCTTTGAATGATTAGGGTTAATAAAAGACAACATGAATTTGCCTGAAAGTCTGCCACTTTTTTAATGATTTTTTTCACTCTGCTTGTATGAGATTCAAGAGTGACTAAGTACGGTAATAAAATACTAATGGCTTCCTCATCATTTTTGGAAAAATTAAGGTACACAGGGGAGTCCCGTGTTTAGGGTGAAAGAAAAATTCAATTCAAATTTTCAAAAACACTTTAAACTGAAAAAGTTGCTGAAATAATAATCAAAATCAACAGAAACTTGTATGTACACAAACAATCTAAATTGGCTGACACATCATCCCCCGTTTCTGTAGATCTTTTAACAAAGTTTAAAAGCTCAACTCTCGTTCAGTACGTGCCATTCCCCCAAAAGATCCAAAACTAACAGAGACAGGCAGTGTAACCAACTGACTGCCCAAGTTTTCAACCACTGGTATCAGAAATGCGCAACCAACTTAATTTCATTGTTCACTTTTCAGACGATAAACAGGTCTTCGGAATGTTAACCATTTCATGCAAGATAAGAGGTAATAAACAGGGATTTTCTGAGCCAGGCACCCGGGTGACAAGGTACTGGGCGGGGTCTACACCCATTTCCAGGCCTGAGTAAATTCCATTTCCATTAAGTTTGTACATATGTACAGAGGTGCTAATCTGTGCAAGTTGAGTGTGTATGAAGCCCCAAGGCTTCTGTGTACCACAGCTGGGTGTTGTAGCAAATTATCAATCCATGACACGGTCTGGGAGTTTCCAAACAGCGATGATGCATTAAGAAATATCAAACAAATCTTTAACAATGACCACCCAGGGTCAACAATTGTAGAGTTCAACTTTACAAAAAGAACCCTGGATGTGGTATGTTGTATCCAAAAGTTATCAATTTTTGGATGAAAATAATACAAAAACATCAGATGACATCATCTGCAAAATGCAAGGGGCTTATATAGTTAAATAAAAACAGGAGTTCCTGATCAAGCCAGAATGAACAATCACAACTCAGTTTATTTTTCTTCCTTTTAATACATCGAGGTTGGGTTTCTCTTGAGGGCAGATGAGCTTTACTTTAACGGGGTAACAACTTCTTGTGCTCTCTACAAATGCACAGCTGTGCACCATACTTACATCACAGCTGGGTGGGAAACGATCTTCACTGCACGTGACAAACTCAGGCCAGCCGTGCTCAATGTCCACGATGCGGCAGGGCCCCCGGGTGACAGAGCACATGTCATAGCTGGGCAGCTCCACAAGCCCGTCCTCGCAGTGCGGCAGATAGACGGCGCAGAGGAAGGGCTGGACCACCTCCCAGCACTTGGGCACCAGCCGCAGCCCCTCCCACTTCTGGAGGTTGCGCAGGGCTTCGGCAGAAGTGGCCGAGTCATTGGCAAGGTCCAGCGAGGTCTGGGAGTGCTGGATGGCCGAGCCCAGGCACGTGGCATTCAGGACAGGGATGCATGTAGCCTGTCTTTGGCATGAGGGCACGCCCAGGCTGTCAAAGACAGTCCGGTTCACGGCCCCCACTTGTGGTAACATCCATGCCCAAGCAGTAACAAAAGTAACGACCCAACACAATGCTACCCTCTCTTTGATTTGAGCCATGATGCAGTTTGGCTATAGGTGCCGTTTTCATTAGGAGTACCCAAAATATTGCAAGAGCAGGCCATCTGAATGAGTTCCCATCAATGCTGGTAAGTGATGATGTTAAGGTGAAGTGACAAACTCATCTACACTCTCAAGTCTGACAGAGGGCAGTATTGGAACGTTCCATGATTTTTTCCACGCCCGACACTGACACTTTCTCAAATGATGCAGTTTCCAGGGATGAACTGTTTGCAGCCCCTGGGGCGCTGCCGCTTCTGTGGGCACTGGAGGTAAAAAAACAAACAAAAACCCAGTAATACCTGGCTCTACACAAGGCTCCTTCATTTGAGAAAAATTATTTCAAATAAAAACGTGACAGGAGAAAATCTTACAACTGTAATTCCTCCAACATGAACAACTGAATAAGGTGCACATAGAACAACTGTGTAGCTGTTTTAAAAAATTGTAAATAGGGCAAACATCAAGTTTAACAAAGGAACTCCAAAGATACAATGAAGTCAGAAATTTATAAAGTTCCTTCTCTTTACCCTCCGTGGCTGTATTCTTTTGACATTTTGTTTCCGACAAAGTACAACATGTGGCCAAAACTGATCATGGACGGATACATCATACAAATGTATGGTGGAAATCCTTCAGTTGTGTCAGAGGTCAGATTTTCGCAGGCTGGCATGGCTGGTAATTAGTCTGAGTAACTTGGACACTGCGAATCGCTCTATTTAACATTTGGAAATAGACCATGTCCCAAGTGTTTAAAAAGAGGCATATTTGTAGTGTTCACGATACTCAGGTTACCTGCAAAGGTAACTTTGAACTGTTGATGCACCTGATACAAATCTTGAGAAAGTTTTGAAGAAAATTGAGTGAAACAAAAACAGACGTGTCCTACAAACTAAACCAAATTTTTTTTCTTAAATTGACACCCAAATTCTCACTGTCAATGAACCGGGGAAAGATTCACACACACGAAAAACAATTTCCATCTTCGAAAAATATGCTAACTTGGAAACAATGCATTGCTAACTCTTTCCTTAAATTTTTGGTTAAAACATGTAAAATGTGGTTCTTTTTGGTGTAAAAAAGACTTTGAATTACGGTGTTACTTCAACTGGGGCATGAATTTAATAGCAAGGCCACGTCTTGCAAGTTCTGAAACTCAATGTATTTTCAAAGGTCTATTAATATTAAAAGTAGTCTCTCTAAGAATTTCTTTATCTTACAAACTTTACTTTTTAGTGCAACCATACAGAAAGAACTCAAACAAGACGGTTACTATAGCGTGTACATGTATTATTAGGGCCTAATTAGGCATAAGGCCTACCTGTACTTCATATTTTTGCAGGTGCCTATTCCAAGATGATATATTATGCACAGTGTTTGTTGATCAAAGCATAGGCCACCCTTTAATCAGTAATACATCAAAGACACAAATCCCTACCCAAGAACTTCAAGATGTCGACAATACCGTCCCTTACCTACATGTATTAGAAGATGAGACAAAGTTAACTTCCTTGAGAAACCCCGAGCGAACGTCTCACAAACTAACCGCTTCGACCCCCTCAAATCACGGCCAGAAATTCGTTTGTCTTCCCTCCATTTATTGCCAACAAAGCCTGCACGATGACCACTTCAGTCGCGTCAAAGCACTTAGACTTGTTTGCCTATTAATTTACTGGCAAACAGAAAGATGTTCCACTTAGAAGTTGACAAACAATGGTAGCGGCAGGCACACCAGCACAGTACGCGTACGCTGGGCCGACGATGCAACTTAGTTCTAGCGAAATCTTGACCGGTCACGTGACGATATGGGGCATTCCTATGCAAATCAAGTTGCGAACAAGTTCACATTACCAGTTGGGTGGTAGCTGTCAAAGATGTAGAAGTTTACCTTTTATTTTCCGTTTACTCCCTTTTTCAGAAAGCCATCAGACACATCAGTGCCACATGGAGTTGGTTTCGTGGTGGTCAGGCTCATTGTCAATGTCATTGAAGCTCCAGAAAATTTGCAAGGACAGGAAAAGAAAACGAAAGTGAACCCGGGACGCAGCCAAACACCCGTGAGGGCGCTATGAGCTAAGGATGCTGTTATGATCCGCTATTCACCAGGCGCTGGGTGACGACTGACGAGCGAAGCAGTTTTGGCAGGGTCCGAAAAACTTGGCTGCGGCTTGAAACTGGAAACACCAATTTTATGAAATCAGGCGTACTGTTCCAGCGAAATGCCCGCTTTATGACTGAGACAGTCGCTTCAGTCTGAACTTTGGCCACTTAGGGCCTACATGTGCTCATACAAGCTCAATGTACGTTGGCCGATGCGAGTGAGGTCCTGAACTTTAAAGTTTTCGTAAAACAAAACCCGAACTCCAAATGAGTTGGCTTGAAAAAAAAAGTATTCATAACAGATATGATGCATTCCAGGTATCGGAACCAGGCATGGGTACAGGACAGCTATTGCTGTGATGTGGTCGAAAAAAAGAGAAGAGGGCTTTAGGTTTTCAAGGTAAACAACTATTTTTCTTACATTTTTTTTGAAATGTGGTTACTAATTAATAGACCTTAATCACGGGAATGTCACTTTAGATGAAACGTGTTTAAATGTTATGAACACTTATCCATGTACAAGTTTAGCTTCTTAAACCTGCTTAGCATTTGTCTTGGATAAAGTCTTGGATAAAGAAAGCCAAAAAACTACTTCCTAGAGTGTGACCAGTGTGAAGCTACATGTAGCTACATATTATAGGAGAAACCGAAAGGGCACTTAAGAAACGACTCACAGAGCACAAGAGGGAGTCTTCCCGAATAAGCCATCATCTGGAGAAGAAAGTCACTTCAACACAGACATGACCAAAGTCATAGACAGAAAAGGAAGATGGTTTGAACAAGGATTCCGTGAGGATTCACATCAGGTCAAGGTCTCCCCCACAGCATTAACTCCCCCAGGATATTACTACCTCATAAAGTCACGTGACGCCGCTTCATCGATCTTGGCTGCGTCACGTGACCCAGTTGACCATTGCTGTTGAGGCTTCCGTGGGCCTCTCCCAGGCGAAACGCTTCAATGCTTCAACTTTTTGTTGTAAGCACAGTGTATCTGTTTAATTTCTACACCGACCAGATACAGTCCCTCTGTTTTCGTGTAGTTAAAACATCTCAAATGCTCTTTTTCTCCAGCTGTGAATACGCCAGATTTTTGACGGACCATTCTGACGCCAAAATTTCCTTAAAACTCCATTTTCGAGAGGGGGATGTTGTCCCAACCTCAGATACCTTGTGTGGACCCGTGAACAGAAGGCGTTTTCCTCCTACACGAAAAAAGGAACTGTAAGGTTGGTCACGGCGTCGCAATGGGTGCGTTGACAAGCGGTTTTCTATACCAGCTTCTTAGGGAAATTTGAACAGTATTCAAATGATTTTACCAATGGTAATTTGTGTGGGAAAAGTAATGGTAATTCTAACGGCAATTAATACAGTCACTTGGAATGTATTTCAATGATATACCACTGACCCATTTTCTTAGGGGTACCTGCAGCGTTTTGGCGTGTATTCAGATTTGATTGTAATTAAAATATGAAGCTTATTTAATGCTGTATAATATATTTAATTCATCTTTGGATGGACTGAGTGTATGGAAGCCTTGTTCCAAGTCCCATGCATGGACTGCACGTTTTATTTCAAACAAAGTAAACAACTTATAAAATACACACCAAAAGAACCATTAACCCCAACCCCTTCGGGGGTTTATGTGAAATGATACTGAAGTCTGAGGACCTTTGGGGTTAAATGTACATAAATCCAAGGAGAAATGCAACATTAATTCCTCCAGAAACATTCAATGGACGGTTCAGACTTAGTAATTTTTTCCCATATGGCAAGCATGCCAGAGACGCGGACCGCATATATCTCAGGATGTTAATCAAGTGTAAGATATGTAAGGCTTGGTGATCAATTAAATAAAACTGGGCCAGTATGAAACGCAGATTGGGGTCTGGGGATTTCCCAGTGAAGTAATCTGTCGTATTTAATAATAAATAATCTGTCGGCTGAAAGTCGCTTACCCAGTCATTTCGGGCGACTCGGAAGCTTTGCTATTTGACAAGGGAGTTCCCAGGGTTAACAAACGGAACCGATCGGACACAGTGACTCGTGACACAGCAAACTTTGGACTGATTCTAAGATCTCAGGGAAGCATAAGCAGAACATTTAATGTTTATTTAATTTAAATCCAAGCTTCTATTGAGTGTAACTCAGAATAGTATTCAGGAAATTTGGGAAACAGGGGGGGGGGATTTTTAACGTGACCGCGGCGGCTACGTACTAACGCACCTTTCAAGTCGGAATCTTTTGGTCTGGGGATTACCTTATAATTGTATTAACACCTTTTCAAATTAACTTCTCTGTGTGGTCATTATGCCACACAACTTTTTTGTCTCATTATGAAAATACATTTAATAAATAATACAATTTGTACCTCTGATTCGTTGTATGCCCGGCAGAAGTGTATGAGCGCTTAGGCCCTTTTGCCGGGAAGCATGATCACTGCAAAAATATTTTCCCGGCAAAAGGATGAAAGTATGCAACTCTTGTATTTTAATGAAATATCAGGATTTTATTGCAAAAAGTAAAAAACAAAATGCCCATGTCCTTTAATAAGTTCCTCAAAGGTTGCTTTTTGTACAGCCCAAGTTGATTTTGTAGTAAATTATATCCGTTTTTACTAAATAAAGAGAGTGTATTTCTTACGCCCTTTTGCCGGGAACATTTTTTCTGCTTTGATCATGCTTCTAGGCGAAAGGGCCTAAGTGCGCTAATGCCCTTCTGTCGGGTACCCGACGAATTATGATTTTTTTATTACAAAAGGAAAAATAAATCTGTCCCTTTGAACAGCGGTGAGATCGTCCGTTGACATCACAAATTCGGAGGCAATATTGTAGTCAAACCCTGACAAGTCCATTACATGTTCTCCATTCTGAAGTCAAGTCACGAGGTATTTGACCAAAAGCAACTCCTAATGTACATTTTAATACCACGATAATAGATAATGTGATTTTTGTCGGTCGAGAATCGATCACGTGATATTTCGTATTAACATATTTCTTTCTGAGACACTTTTGCGAGCACGAGCTGGCCACGTCCCTTTTTCATTTAAAAAAAATTTCAATTCGTTTTAGGGACTTTACCTTCTTACCTTTAATAACTTTAGAAATAGAGTTTATCATCGAAAATATGCCTGTTTGGATTTGCGCACCCCCTCTTTTAAATGCCGGGCACCCCCCTTTTGAAAATGCTGGATATATTAGGCCGAGTTTCCATAATTATGATCGTAAAGATTGCGGACAGGATGATGCTTAAGAGACGACATGTGACATTATCACATCCAAAAATTGAAATAAAATGGCGCCCGAAACTCCTGATATTTTTGTTTGAAAGGTTCTTTTCAAGTGATCATAGGACTTTAATAATTGAAGCCAAGCTCTAGCACTTTCATTTCAGGCTACCTGTTTTGTTGACAACTGGGGCTTTATTTTATTAGTCATAAAGAGCATTTGAAGCAAGATATGGGACGGAGAGAACCCTCGCCTTTTTGTTGGTCATTGTTTGATCGGAATCTCAGGAATTCCTTACATAAAGACTTCTAGGGGGATGTGTTAGGTAACAGTAGTCTAGAGTGTGTTTAGGGATTGGACAGGTAAGGCGGGTATCCCTCCGACCCATATCTTGCCTGGTATAATACAGAGAAAATGGGTCGAATATGTGGTTCTCAAAAGGGACACAGATGAGAGCCTATATACCCTGCACTCAGACATCCGGCTACAAGTTGAACATGTACCCAACGTTGCCTATTTTCTACATCTGTGTTGGCGTCAGTCGGAATGATCACGTAGCATATCATGGGAAACAATTTGGAAACACTCTCTGCGTCTGCATGTCTTTATATGAAAGCTAGGTATAACTGAAATGTGTCATTCTTTGTTGAATTCTTATCTTAAAAATGAGTATGATAATCAAGGGCGTAAATCCCGGTGGGATTTCGGGGGTGTATACCCCACAGTTGGGGGAGGGTGGACTATTGAATCATCCCCCACACTTTTTTTGTAGTGAGAGAAAAATCTGAGCTGATTGTGACGAAATGTTTGGACTTCCCCAAAACCAAAATGTATTCCCGGAGATTAATTTTAAACAGCCATAAATCATATGCCGTCCTGATATTCCCGGAGATTAATTTTAAACAGCCATAAATCATATGCCGTCCTGATATGAGATTAAGCATGAATTCAGCATATAATAAACACCACTCCCTGTACAGTGTCACTTCCATGTCCATCCACTCCCTCTTCAAATATTCATGGCCGGGCTAGTCATCTTCCCAACAANGCACAACTTTACATCACTGTTAATAAATAACAATAATAAACATGGTCGACAGAAGGCTCTCGAGCGTTCTTCTAGGCCATCCTGCTACAGAGGAAGATACACAGTGAAATTTTTACAGTCAATTTTTTTAATTAAGCAACCATTGTTCCTAGAGTATGACAGCAATGGCCACTGCATTCAATGTGCCTTTTCATGGACCCTATATTAACGTATTCCAGATCCTCCCAAGTACACAGTACAGGAAAATGGTACAAGTGCAGCTCGGACCGAAAGATCGCCACGGGTAGGCTACATGAATTCAAATCAACGAGTTAATTCATGCAGGTATTCCAATAGGGCATGCCCAGAATCGAGCGCGTGAGGTCATTCGGGAACAATACTAAGGGTGAAAATTGCTTGCTCAGGCCAAAAAACAATTTGTATGCACTCAAATTCTCTACGAAATAGAACATTTTCTGGCCCATGAACTTGGAGATTTGTAGAAAAGAAAGCTTAGGTGACCAAAACGAATGACAGCTTGTGTCTGAGTGAGATTTGGAAGAAATTGATGCAGGAAACCTTCTATAGTTCGAGAAGTGTAGGCATCGACTTTTCAAAGTGGCGAGGGGCTTTACAACTGCTTTGTAGTGGTGAGCACCGGTGACCTGTGGAAAAAACATCTCCAAAATTCATCGGTTAATGAATGGAAATTCGAAAAGAAAATGAAAAATCATAGAGCGAACTTTGATGTGTGTCTCGAACGCCCGAGAAATTCGCAAGATTTTTTGAAGTTCTGGTATTTATCACTGTTGGCTATGGCAGTTTATTTACTGGTCTGCACCAGCGTGGTCATAAGCCCACTTGCTGGCGTTTAATGACCTCAGTTCTTTTAATGTACCAAACTATAGTTCATTTGTGAAACCCAAGGTGACTCGAATTTTGAAGTTGGTTGTATTTTGCACTGCTTCCACGGCCACTGCCATCCCGCGAAATTATTTTCCGTGCCAGCGGTTAATCAGCTTCTGAAAAATTCTAAACTAATTTTTAAACTTAGATACGTTTTTAAGTATCACAGTGTATCGAGCGATGTTTTAAACACTACAATAAGTACTTAGAATTACACTTACGTCTACGACTCTTTAATTGCTATAATGTACTTTAATATATTGTCAATTCATTTTGCGATAGGTTTTCCCGGTTAATTTCGCAATTCTTTCATTTAAAATTGCTTAAACGAAAGTTTAATTTCGTCAAAGACGGGTCACTGACCCTAAATGTTGATTACAATTTCGAAGCAACACCCCTAGATTTCACTTTCAGAGCATTGTAATTCACCAAAAAACACTTATTCGTCCTATTTACCGTTATTTTCGTCTAACTCCGGGAATGGCGTTGAATTGGTAAAGCAAATTCGTTTTTTGTCGTTCATTTTACCGATTTAATCATCCAATTTCATCAATGATATAAACTGGTATACAAAGCATTGGCCCTTAATCTAATTAACAAAAGAAAGTCAAATAACAGTGAATTATGTATTATGCCTGATTTCTTCGGTCTATTCTTTCTTAGTCAATTTTGAATCACAACAACAAATAATGACGTCTATAACCGCTAATTCAAACGATACATTCATTTTAACGATACATTCTATGACGAATATTATTGAAGGATTAAATTGGTAAAATGGATGACAACAAACGAATTTGCTTTTCCGATTCAACGCCATTCACGGAGTGATGAGACGTAAATGACAATAAATTGGACAAATAAGCGTGTATGTTTTTTGTGATTTACAATGCTTGAAAGTGAAATCTAGTAGTGTTCGAAATTGAATCAACATTTAGGGTGGGTGACCCTTCTTTGACGAAATTAAATTTTCATTTTAGCAATTTTAAATTAAAGAATTGCTAAACTAACTGGGAAAACCTATATTTAATCTATAGTCACTTAGTGGTTTACAATGCTCTGAAGGTAAAATCTAGTGGTGTTCGAAATTGAAGCAACATTTTGGGTTTGACGAAATTAAACCTTCGTTTAAGCAATTTTTAAGTAAAGAATTCTTAAACTAACCGGGAAAATCTATAGTCACTTACTTTCATATTACATATCGTTATCATTGATTCCAGTATAATTTATTTAACTGTCTTTTACGCTACTGGAAATTTTTTGTACATTAAATCATGAATAATTTTAGAAGCCTTTCCTCAACACTGGAATTCAAAAGCGGTTCAGTTGTTGGCTGCTTCATCAAACCATAATCAATCCTTTCACATAAAGGTTTATGGAATATTTTGTTGTCTGTTTTAAACACAATTAGGCGGGCGGGTACGCAGGTACCCGGTCCCGTCGCGATGACCCCCCCCCCATGTCAGAGAAATGAACGAAATTGCGTAATACAAGTCTTCTCCGTTAATCTCACCAAACCAACGTTCAGTTTCGCCACTGCTTATTCAGATTCGTGTCAATTTTTTCAATTCTGTCCAGTGGGATTCCTTCTTCCCCATCAGTGTGTTAAATTTCGTTTTCGGGCGCACTGGACTTTGGCTTTCTCATTTAGGTTCGTTCCTATGCTCGTCGAGCATTCAAAAGCACATAATTCACAATTCTTGAGTGTAATGGCTGCTGTCTTTTGTAATCGACGCAGCGATGCCTTTTTAACTGCGCCTGCTTTTCTTTGTTTCGTTATACTTTACACTTTGAGTGTTAAATTTATATGCTACTTTCTAATATTTATTAATTTACTGTTTATTTAATCAGGGTAGCCTCGTCAGTAAGACTTACGGCAATTAATGAGGGCCCTGAACATAAAAAACTAAGTACTATAATTATACAGTGTATGACCAGGTAAAACAACATTAACCAGAAAAAGTCTGCGAGTGCAACATAAACTGATAGGCCCTATGTACTTATTTTTATTCTACTAAAATAAATTCTTATAAAAATTCTATTTTTATTCTACTAAATCCTGCCACACATTTATTTTCTGTTTTATTTATTCAGGGTAGCCTCGTCAATAAGACTTACTGCTATTAATGAGGGCCCTGAACACAGAAACAAATTATTATATACAGGAATATAAAACAAAGAAAACAATTAGATTTCAATTAAAAATTTTACAAAAGTTAATCAAAATAAGAAAAGACAACAAATAGGCCCCGCCTAAACAAAAACAACTTTGTAAAACAGTTAAACATTGAGAAATAGAAAAAAAGTCAAAAATTGCAAGAATTGACACAGAATTTATTATGGTTGTCTTTCACTCTAAGTCGTTCTTCAACGTTCGGTTGCTCCCTGATCATTGTCTGGTTTAAATAATTTCTCTGTATCATTAATCTTTGTGTTCACTCTTGTCTCTTGAATTCATGAATCAAATCAGGGGATTTATGTTTTTTGTCTTCACTCTATGTACAAGAGCTGGTGGCATTATACTGTTTGCAATTATTCGGACGATGTCAAGTTAAGAGTTAAAGGGTAGCTGCAATCAATGTTTTTGATTACAAACCTGTAAAATGCACCTTTGTGCCTTAGTAAACCTTATTTTCAACTTTGGTTTCACTAATTCAAAGGATATGTCGGTTTTTATGCTGATGTGATTTCCATATTCATGAGCAAAATTGTGACGTCATCTCAGGAAGAAAACTAACTTAATATTCTATTGGTTTGTACACCAAAAAAAGTCCTGTGTTTTTGTAGACTTTCCTGGACTAAGTTTTCTCTTCTTAGCTGAGTGATTGTTGTTTATATGCATAGCAATAATAAACGACCAATCCCTCTCTCAGAAGTTTTTCAGTTAGTAAATTCTTGGTCCACGATTTGAACAGAAATACTTTGCACTGAACCATGTCTTCCCTAGATGACTTCACATTAACAGCGCCCTCAGTTTTCCTGGAAAACATAGATAATTTTGACTGTTTGAAAGTGTGCACTTTTCTGTGCATTTAACCAAATAGGTGTGTGTAAGAGTATTCATACATTGAAGAAAAGTACAAAGATGCAGAAAAATTATGCCAAAGAAAAAATTCATTGCAGCTAATTCAAATTATGAACCCAGAATTTCCTAATGATATTTCTGCGAAATCGAATGATGGTTTCTTATTGATGTGCACATAAACAACAATGGATCATATCAGCAAAGAACAGAAAACTTAGTCCAGGAAAATCTAAAAAAAACACAGGACTTTTTTGTGTACAAATCAATGTAACTGAGATGACATCAGTTTTGCTCATGAAAATGGAAATACTCATTAACATAAAAACAAAAAGGCATTAGGATACCCTGTGAAAAAGTGAAACCAAAATTGAAAATAATGTTTACTGAGGTACAAAGGTGCATTGCACATGTTTATAATCAAAAACATTGATTGCAGCTACCCTTTAAGGGTCACAGGCGTGCCGTACCGGTTCTAGCGATGGTGCTGCTAGAAACGGTAGGTTTGGCAGAGCTTGTTGCAGAGCACCTTCCATCCGTTTCAGAGTAAAAGATGGATTTCCATTCAGCAGACGTTCTAACTCGTCTCATATCTCTTGATTTACTGGAGTATTATGCGCTCCTCCAGTCGACAACTTATCGTGACAACCTGATACGGCCACTTATCGATCTGAAGAAAATTATTTCTCTTGATACCAAGTGTGCCAGCCATTTAGATGTACCGTATTCTGTTGCATTGCCCTCAGACGCGTTCACAGACCCCTCCATATCTGTAATGCTCACTTTTATGTATACAATAGGACCACGGGCCGCCCGTTTTTGGTGCAAAGTCAGTGAGCTGTAGGCCTATCATGATCCACAGTTGAAATATCACCATTATTTACAAATACGAATCAGAAAGAGTACAATATAGGAACGAAATTGAATTCACACACGTGAGAAACAGAAAGAGTACAATATAGGAACGAAATTGAATTCACACACGTGAGAAACGTTTGACTAAATCGAAGTCTTCATCAACCTCTTCCTAAGGCCTGTGATGAATAAAACAAAACGACTACTTGAATTCGAATGAACGTATTTCTCGAAAAAGAGTTCAGATAACGAAATTGAATGACTTCTTTTGAGTTAAGAATGCTTGTATGAAAGAGCATTCATTTTAAAACGAATTTAGATGGGTCTCGACGACTGCTGAAAAAGAACAGGAAAACATATGGACCATGTGAAACGAAGGCACTGGAATATGGTACTCTGAAACTCGGCCTCTTGTCTACCTCTACGACTCTGGCCTTGGCACTGGCCTTGTCACATGACTGCCGACAGACTGATATTTTCGAGGCTAAGCCTGAATCAGCCTGTAACTAATGCTGAATCTAAAAAATTCTCTCGAAGCAGACATCAGAAGTGACAGATTGTTAAATTTCTTTTTCTGCCAGTCTATTTACGGGTGTGGTTGTTTTCATCTTTCATGCGTTTGAGAGGCGAGAGAAGCTTGTACCAGCTCCGGTGGTCGTTCGTTGCTTGTCAGCTTTGCGGGATGTCGTCATTGTGCGCATGCTCAGACTGTCCCTTTTCCTGAGCGCGACTTTTTTACAGCCGCACGCGCGCGCAGTCAGGCAACGGACCAGGCAGGCTCGGTGCCGCGAGCTGATGCCGAAGAGGATCCAGGGATCCAGACCAGTGTTGATCACAGGCATGACGAAGCCGACGTAGCGCAAAATGTCTGTCCCGTGGGGGAACGGTTGAATAAGGAAGTCCTCTTGCGGTGTGAAATTGATCCAAAGGTAGTAGTAGAAATACGGGAACCAGCAGACAGCGAAGAAAATGGTGATGACGAGCACAGAGAAGGCAAGGCGCTTACGAACACGTACTTGCTTGGCCATGGCGTCGCCCATATACTCATTCTGAAAACTGATAAACACAAAAGGTTTTAGTCTTTGGGGCAAACGTTTAAATTCGTGCCTAATTATGATTAGACTCAAAGCAGAAATAAGGGAAATTTGTCCAATTCAAGAGCACCTCATTGTCTAAGAAAAGGTTTTAATCGAGGAGTATCATTTATATTATTAATATCAACCATTGCAATACTTTGGGCGAACTCAGCACCCTTTTTCTCTGCCTTGATAGAAAACCTAACCCTAGACTCATGGTGACATATAAAGGTGTCATTAATGATGATTACAGGTTTCGTCTGACATCGGTCTATATTTATGTTGCATTTGCGTCGACCGGTATCCAAGGTCTATCTTACGTTAATATGTTGCTTCTACGTGGTATCTGTCAATTATGCAATGTAATATTTTGGTAACACTGCAAGGGTGGATTTTGAAAGGGTGAAAATTTCTATATTTATATATTCGTGTGAAACTTCTCTCCCTCCAATTTGAAACTAGAGACCAGACGACTGAAATTTCCTTATTCCAATCGGGATTTCACTAGATTTCCCACTGAAAGTGGATTTTTTTCTAAACCTTCTTCAGTTTAAATTCAGAGTGATTTTAACTTTAAATCGTCAGGTCCCTAGTTTCAATCGTTGGGGACGAGTGATTAGATTAGACTAAGCCAAGTTTTAATCTGTAATGATTGAATGCCAAATAATTGCGCAAGATGAAGTTGGAAACCATCTGGCAGGACCGTAAAACCACGTTACAGGACAAGGTTGCCGTCCAACCATTAGCTAAAGTCCACCAACCTGTGCGTACTCCGGAACAGCGAAACAGCGATCCTCATATAGTAGATTCCCACGATGAATAATGGTATGAGATAGCCCACCAAGAAATGCACGCACTCGTAGGCCTTTGACAGAGTGGGATCGCTGGACGAATATCGGCACTGTTTCTCCTGCACATGAGCAAAGACCAAGGTTGGGACACTAACGGTAAGAGCAGCCAACCAAAGCGTGGACACGGCGCATCGGCTGCTGGACAACCAAGACATGACGGCTCCCCGGTGGCGCGCTTCCATCCCCCCGACGATAGCAGTGTGGCGCTCGCGGCTGAGGGCGGCAAGCGCGAAAACGCTGGCGTGCTGCGCCACGAAGGCCAGGTAGTTCTTGACCTTGCAGGCTGCCTCGTCCAGGTGCCAGTTCGGGTTGAGCTCGTGCCGGGTGTGGATGGGCGTGGTAATAAGGATGTAGAGCAGGTCGGCCACCGCCAGATTCAAAATGAGCACGTTGGGCAAGGTGCGCATGTGTCGGTGCCCCAGAATGGCGTACACCATACAGACATTGCCCACGAGACCGACTAGACTCAATATGACAACAAACACCGCAACGCCAAGTCTAAGAGGATGGGTTGTCGAATCCCCATGGGTGGTGTTTGTTAGGTTGTAAGAATAATATAAATAGGAGCCTTCCATTATGCGCTGTGAAAGGAACACTTAATATTTGCCCACAGAAACTTCAAAACACAAAATTTCAAAGGCCTTAAAAATATGTGTCTACCCACTGTCTAACTTTCAATTCGACAAATGTGAGCTGTTTGATTGTCTGAAAGACGTGTGGATAACACCGCGTCCGTGGTACCAAGATGCTTCATCTGCTGTTCAGACTTCACTTGTTCGATGTCTGAAATAGCGTAGTAGGTATACTGTATAAACGACCTGTCCTGAACGTACGGTGCTTTTAAAAGTGTTGCGTCGTCAAGGCCAAAGAGCAGGCTTCAAAAACGGTAAAATCCCTGCAAGGCAGCAACATGTGTAGATCTCCACGATGTGGTGTCCAATCACTCAGCGGCTCGAGGACTTGTCTCCATCGATTGAATTTCCCCGTTGGCGAGGTTCTTCAGTGGTTCCCTTGTCGGTTGGCGTTATACTGATGGCTTACCTGGGAAGGGAACAACATAGTGCAGTGCATTACACTTCGCATTCGCATTATGCAAGTCGTCATAACTGAAAACAAGTTCACTCGAACTTTCTCTACAATGTGTTTATGCGGCCCAGCGAAGGTAGGTCCCGCAGAATCCTGGAGCAACCGGCATTTGGCATTATGTACCTGACACCTTGTGTCGTTCTCTAAGTTGTGTTTTACTGTTGACGTCTGTCGAGTTACATCTTCTGTTAACATGAGCACCGTAATCTTTGCATTTTCTCAGTTGGTGTACGCATTTTAAAGGCATCCTACTTTGACTGTAACAGCTTTAACTCGCCACGCACAAGGCTTCGCTTTTATAAGTCACGGCACATGCATGCAACCCGGCCATAGGCCTATGGTTGACAGAGCGAAACGCGGTTAACGCAAGTCGCATGCACTCTACAGTTTTTGAACTGGCTACCCATCCCTAGCACGTATGTTCACTCCCATCCCTTTGTGCGCCACTAAGTTGAGAGACGGTTAGCGCATGCGCACTCGATCACTTTACTGTGGATTTTGAGCCAGGCAACCTCAGACATCGTTCCGACAATTCTTTCCATTGATAGAGACCATAATTTATTTCTTACAAAATACAAACAAATAAAATTCATGGAGATAAGTTAATAGCTAAAAATTGATAAGACAACATTATACCACCGTATTATATGAACCCAGTTGCACAAAATTTGAATCAAATTCCGAAAAGGTGATTAATTTGAAAGAAATTAAAACAATCAGATATGAAAGAAAATACATCCACGGTCTTTCCCATTTTAAAACCGCTTGTCCAGTTTAGCTACACAAACGAAATAAAGTGCCGTATGTATTAAGACCCGATAAAAACACTGGTAAAATTTGGAGTTATTGCGAATTGAATATCTTGCACGAGAATATTTTCTCCGTAGTAGTGCATGTATACGTGCCGACTACCAAACGAAAGAGAGCCAAAGTTCAAATGAATAAAACTATTAAAGGAATATCAATAGCTTAAACATAACATGGTACCTTTTTTCAAATACTCCTTCAATTACCAAGATATGCAGCATGCGTGGGAAAACTGGAGAGAAATTAAAAAATTTCGATTATAAATTACCCTTCTTTACGTTCTGAAATGTAACGTACATGTACATAGACATCTTTCACCCCATTTTCTCCGAAATGTCACTTATGATTAACAAGTAGTACATCACAAAATGAAATCTGAGGCCTGATTATATTTCTCTGCTATAAATTCAGAAAATCTTTACACAGTGCAGATGGATTTGGGTATAGTCGTTTACTGGCTGGCGTCGCCATTTTAACAAGTAACAGAAAGTGACTTTGCCAAATTTTAGCGCATGCTCACAAACTAAGTGGGAGGGATGGACATACGTGCCCTACCCCTCAGACAGTATTCAGTTCAAACTTCTTCTAGCACGATAATGTCAGATGTGGACTCGCACCAGTATAACTAAACAATCTTGACAGTCCAAAGACTTCAAACTTCATTCATCAGCATTCAATCTCATTTCACTTCAACCCGCCAAAGACCAACACACCAACTATGGCGAGTGGGCGAGTGGATACTCCTCTCATATCCAAGACTCGCCCTCGATATCTGCTCCGAGCGGGAACAAAAGAGGGCGGGGTTTTGAAATGAAATTGACTGTCCTTTGCACATATCACAAACCTGTGGTCCTTTGGTACGAACTCACTGCGTAGGCGTGCAAGTCTATGCACGTTTGGCACGGGGCACACTGAGTACGCAAAACGAAATATATGCTGGAATGTTATGTTCTTCGCGTGCACGCCGAACACAATGTATGCAAGAACCCGGTTGGAAAACTTTTTACTATCAGACTGTGTTTCTCTCGCCGGTGAGGGTGCACTTCAGCTCACGGTGGATAAGCCACAAGCATAATAAACGCATGGACTGGTCACGTCCCCGTCCCCTCAGGGAGCGGTAGGTAGCTGCGATTTAACGCGCGTGATTAGCCCTGTCAATTTGGGTGATGCTGAACGACGTTTAGGGCCAATTCATGTGGCGTGTCGAGACAGGATCACTCATTCTAACACGGATGCAGTACCACAGCCCACAGCTGTGGCACAGCCATGTTTCAGCTGACACTCCCAACGGCCCCCCTCTAGTGGCGGACAGCATTTTTGTTGGGTTTGTACCAGAGCGACCGTCACCGGGGAACAGTGGCCCCGGATTCTTTTATTTCAAAGAGTCCATGTAATACATACCTGTGCAAGGTTTTATATGAGCCAGCATGATTTCTAAAAAACAACAACAAAACCAAACAAAAAACAAAAAAGAATCATTTGTTGCGACAAAACGGACAGTTAAAAAGACGATAGGATAAAATGTATGAAGACAGTAAATCGTGGACTCAGTACTGTGCAACATCGGGTAATCGAGTTAGTAATGGCCCTCAGTCCCACAAAAGCCATTTTACCTCGTTCATCGAATCTGTTTTATAATGTTGGATGGGAGGGTATCAGACTATTTTAGAATTCATGTGAGGTACGCCTCCGATTATTTTTTTCCAAATCTGGCGTAAAACACTATTAAGTATGTATTAAGACGAATACGAAATTATTCTTTAGAATAGACAGGTAGCTTGCACTAATTTGACAGGAAATCTTATTTCATTCTTTCACTGATTCTTTCAAATTTCAAAAATGAAGAGTTAACTCACACTTTCGTTATGGCCTACCGTACTGTGAATCAGATCCACCATTAATTCCCGTTCAGCGATGATAGATTGCGCTGTAGATCTATGGATGAAAATATTGTATGTTGGCCAATCTAAATTGGCGCCTGTGAGATTCGATGATTCGCACGTTGGGCAGTGCAGCCTGGCATCAATATCATGCGATTTTCAGCAAAATCCAGAAATCTTTGCGTTGCAGATATATCAACCCAGCCAGGAGATGATTGGCAATTACCTCATCCCACAGCCCCAGGCTCCAATCTCAGCCGATAAGGTTTAAATAATATAACAAACTGCATTCATTTGGCGTCTAACGGGCGTTTCTAAGCATTTTTGACAGTTCAAGTAGGTGTGTCTTTAACTGAATTTTGAACGTACTTATCCCACAGACATAATTACAAACGTACAGTCTTGCGCGTACAACGGTTACCGTGATTTTGAAAAGTATCCCATGTACGTTCATGACCCGTATTGAATCCCACTATACAGGCAGAAACCAGTGAAATGGCTCTTGACTCAGGCAGGTGGACCCCAAAATAATCGATCAAGCTCAGATATTGTTGTTTGCCCCTCATATCCATACCGATTAGAATTTAAACACTTAAAAGTCCCTTCTGCTAACTCGTACACTATAGAAAACCATTTTCTGCCAATGTTTTGCCAGTCTTTGCTACGAAAATCGAAAGTAACAGTCAAAAGTTGAAAGTGAAGTCAACATTTCGTTACTTGTGAATAGCGACGAATATCTTGAAAGCTCTAATGAGAAAGTATCACGCAAGAAGAAAACCGTATGAATGCGAACAGAAAGCTTTCGTTTGTGCCTTTTAGTCGGGCAATCTGACGTCGTTGTACATATTGGTGCAATGCAGTAAAAGTAAACTCGTACCGAAACGCACTCGTATTCCAGGTGTGTGCGCGTGTACGTGCATGCCATGCCCCAAATCCGGACATCTCATTTTGGACCGTTGTCGATCGGACTCGGTGCGGAAATTTGAATCCGCATGAAAAACGAACCACATTTCAAACAAATGGCTCGAGTCAATCTTGAAGGAATGAGCTGATAGATACGAACGATTTACCAATCTTCCGGAAAGTATCACACATGATCCGAGGGGAATTCGACAAAAGTGTGAAAATTGGGCAATAAGGCCGTTTTCCAATACTCAACTTCGTCTCCGTCTCAGGTTTCGTTTCCAAAACCAATCTCCGATTGTGGGCCTGAAGTGTTTAAATTACATTGGATTACTGTAATTTTTGGCTCTCTTACATCTTATTTGATTCTTTGTGGCACTATTAGACTAATTACTGAGCTTACAGCTTTAAAGTCAGCTAGTGAAAAACAGTTGAAGCCAAAGACGGAGCCGAAGTTGAATATTGGAAAACGACCTAAGTAAGGTGAAAAACACAAAGAATAACGAAAATGGGTCCCAATGAAAAATGAAGTGATTTTTTTAAGAGATCAACTTTTTTGTTCATAAGAGTTAATAGTCTTTCATGTGGCATCAAAGTAATTTGAAAGAATTTGACATTTTCCACTTTCTTTGATTATTTTTCTTTCTTACCAGAAGCTGTTAAATATCACTATTTGATAGATTCTGGGAATCTATTCGCACACGAAGTCTTCAAGGGAAATGGCAGTACCAATCCCTCATATGGGTCACCATCGATATGCGAACTATAGTCTGCTAGAATAATTTTTCATTTCTGAATGTATAGCCGCCCGCCTCTATCCAAAATAGGTCCGCAATTTGGGATTTTTTGTGTGAAAAGAAATACCCCGAACTGGAAAATATCAGTCCCAAATTCTGGATTTATAGAAATATTTCTATGATACCTCCTGATCATGGTCTGCCTTATTGTAAAAATCCCTTGGGATCACAAAATGATAATGAGCTGGCGGGCAGAAATACAACAATTTGGTGGAATGCACCCCGCAACGCACGTACATTGCCTGTAACGGTTTACATATGCTCCCAAAATACGTTCGTCAAAATAATGTTTAAACTGCATTTTTTTGAATCCTTGTTGGCAAGATAAAGTAAATAGAGGATTTATTTTACCATCAAAAAATGGCTCCATATGAATTTCATGGCTGGAATTCTTCAACTGCAGCGCGTAAATTTCCTATTTGCTCTTTGCACGCTGCCGCCATGGGCAGGCGGAGCTTTGATCTGGCAGCGTTATAAGATAAATATAAACATATAGCCGGTTGAGTGACTACTGTGTGTGTTGCTTTTGTAATTTTGCGTGTGTTGCGTTCTTATGCCATGCGACTGG